TAAGGATTTTAAAAGGTTGCACACTTTGTTCTCTTGACCTGGAACAACACACCCTTCAGGTTGAGTCATATAAATTTCCTCCTTTAATTCACCATTCAAAAAGGTTTTCTTAACATCCATTTGGTGTATAACTAGTTTATGGACAGCTACTAGAGCTAACAAAACTCGAATAGAGGAAATCCTAGTCACAGGGGCAAATGTGTCAAAATAATCAATGTTGGATTTTTGAGTAAAACTCTTTGTTGCTAATCTTGTCTTATATTTATCTATGGATCCATCAGAATGATATTTTTTCTTAAAGATCTACTTACAACCAATAGGTTTTGTTCCTTTAGGCAAATCTACCAAAGTCCAAGTATTATTTTTCTTAATTGAATCAATTTCAGTCTTAATGGCCTTATCCCAATGTATTGCATCAGGAGCCCTAGTAGCCTCTAAAAAACTCATTGGAACATTTTCAACTAGATAAGTGTAGAAATCATCTCCAAAGGAGGTTTCCTTCCTCTATCTTTTACTTCTCCTCAAATCCTCATATATTTTATCACTATTAATCTCTATAGATTGTTTAGGTATCTCACTAACCTTTAAAGGAAAAATATGTTCAAAGAACTCAACATTTTTTGTCTTCACTATAGTATTATGCTCAATTATCACTTTTGAGGACAAAAAACCTATAGGCAACACTATGTTCTGCATAGCCTAAGAACATACAATCAGAAGTTTTAGAGTCTATTTTCCTTTTCTTATGATTGAGTAACATTACCTTAGCTAGGTACCCCACACTCTTAGATATTTAAGATTAGGTTTATAACATCTCCATAACTCATAGGGAGTTTTACCAATTTAAAAAAAAAAAAAAACGTTGTAAGTATATCTTCTCTCAAGGGTGATTAGGTGCACTAAAGTTATTTGATTAAGTATACGTTGGTTTATCTAGAGTAATCATCTATAAATTTCACAGATCATATCAATAATATAAGTAGAAGAATAAGATTCATTAACAACCAAGGGCTTTGGTCACAATATCTCTTCCTTACAAATACATTATTTTTTTGTCATAACAATCTTATCAGATTCGAATGACACTTTAACCCCAACTTTCCAAACTTTTCCCAACAATGCTACAGAGATTAGATTAGCCCTGATTAATGGCACATGTAACACATCATTCAAGGTCAGAGTCTTTCTAGATGTGAGTTTTAGAAGAACTTTTTCTTTTCCTAAGATAGGAGTTGTCCTGGAATCACCGAGATAAATATGTTCTTCTCCATCCCACACTAGTGTAGGAGATAAAAGCACTTCTGTTTGCACAGATGTGCCTAATAGCACCAGAATCTACCACTCATTTGCTCACATTTGTCACAAGTTTATTTGGGAAACGACCGCAATAATTGTATCTTCTCCTTTGGCTAAATTTGCCTTAGGAGGATTGTCGTTTATCATTCCACATCTACACTGACATGCATGATGACCTTATTTTTCACAAAAAGCAATTTTCTTTCTTGAACGTAAAGTGGGATTAGATCCACTGGTTTCATACAGTCTCAACCTTTTCTTATACGTATGTACAAAATAATATGAGGATAAAATAATATTCTACTTATACGTATGTACAAAATAATATGCAGACAAAATAATATCTACACGTATGTACAAAATAATACGTAGATCTAAGTCATGCACACGTAACTGTTAATTGTTCACAAAGAAAATCTATCAACATATAATAATTTTGCATAATTTCTCTCATAACATAAAATAATTATCATAATGCATTTTTCATTTTATCTGTTGCATTGGTGTAATAAATCGGAAAAAGGAACATGTGTTTGATGACATCACTTTGATCCAAAAATTTTCTAGCATAATTATAACATCCAAACATTTTCTATCATAATTATAACATGCAGTGAAATCAATTTCATACATGATTCACCTTTAATCCAATCACATCATTTGTCTTTTCAATAAGAAATTGATTGTAATTGAAAACATAAATTAGGGTTCATTTTAATATGATATAGAAATCCTAAATTCATAATTAGGATTTATCTTAATTTGGGAAAAACATAATTTAAAAATTATCATAAGAGAAAAATCATAAATCTAACAACTATGGCTCTGATACCACATGTATTTTAATGTGTAGTTTTACACGTTACTAATTCTATAAAACTATTCTTCAGGTTTAGATTCTTTATTTTCACATAATAACATACATGAATCATAATCATATAAATAACATGAATCGTAATCAGAAGACTAACCTTGATCCATGAACACTTCATAATTCTCTTTCTTTCACTATCCAATATTTTGAAATAAAGGAAGTTGTTTATATTCTTACTATCAGCCATAAGTCCTTAAGATTGTTGTAAAAGCTGATAGAGACACGCACAAACTTTTTCCTGAGGAGTGTATAATCACTTCCCTTAAGGACTTATCCGCGGTGTATTGCACAAGTCCCCCAGGATACAACAGGAACTTCTCGAAATATCCGAGGATCTCAGAAACTAGCAAGAACTCTCAAAAGAGTAAATTAACCTAGGATCACAGAAAGAAGATCAGAGAAGAGAAGATGAGAGAGTTATCTTCTGAAGAGTGTGAAGTAGTCTCTATTTATAAGAGAAAGTCAGTAACAGTTATGGAAGACTTGGTAGTGAGTCTGTAACGTTCTCTGAAACAGTCTTCTGCAACGTTCTCTGAAACAGTCTTCTGCAACGTGTGTGAGAACATTTTCTCTCGAAACTGGTCTTCTACAACGTTCTCTAAAACGATCTTCTCGCAACGTGTGAGAACACGTTCTCTAAAACAGTCTTCTCGCAATGTGAGAACACATTCTTTGTGTTGCAATACCCCTTAATTTATAACAATGTCTTCCCTCAAAGTTTTGTAACTTTTATGTAATTTGAGTTTAGTCCTCAAACTTAATGATTATTTAATATATTTACTTATATATTTATAATTTTATCCTCTGACCCTTTTATATTTATTTATTATTTATTAACAATATATTATTTGACTCCCAAAATCAATGGTCAAGGTCCGTCGCTGATCATGGGGTATCCTCATATGTATGTGTATGTGTATGTTATGTCTATGGTATATTGATGCAAGTTAAGATAATGGTGGAGGAAATTTTAAAGAAGATATAATAACTTTATTGATATTTGACTCACAAAAAAAATTATCAGGTAATGAGAGTTGACAGAGATGTTTATGACTTAACTTGTAATGTGAAAAAGAACTGGACATAAAAATTTATCTTATCACATGAGAGAAAGTGTTACAATACCTATGTTGCATATATTTACTTATGGAAAATAATGTGACATGTGTAAATTTCTGGGTCTAATTCAATACATACGAGTCTTTTGGAAGTAGAGTTAAAATGTATGTGATATTAGTGTGAGTGTATAATAATATGAGATATGACATTTTGATTGAGAGATTAAACACTTGATATATTGTTGGTTTTTACCATATTGGATCAAAAAATTTTGATTTTACTAAAGGGGTCAAAAATTTAAAATTTTCCAAAAATGGGTTCAGTCGTGGACGAGTTTTGGGTAATGAAATCATATTTGAAAGCATATTTTGAGTGAAATTGTGCTTCCAAGCATAATTTTTTTTTTAAAACGTGTTAGGTAGCACAAACTATGTATAAATGCTACTATACCGAACTTGTGCTATCTAGCATGAGTTTCTTTTAATTTTTATTTTGAAAAATAGGATTTTTTAAATTTTTTTAAAATATATTTTTTATTAAATAATTTTTTTCAATTAAATTATTAATTTAATAGAAATAAATTTAGACAACCATGGTTAAACTTAATTCACTACACTTATATTAAAATATTACATTATTTAGACAAATACAAATTTATTATCAAAATAGAAAGTTTATTCGATCATGTCATTTATTTTGATAAAACAAATATTTTTTTTGTATATTTTTAACTTGTACATTCATTTCATTTCAACAAACGACACACTAAGAAAACCTACAACTAATCAAATTCGAAATGAATGGATGTACAAGTTTGAAATAAGCCAACAAAAATATGGTTCCTTCTATCAAAATAAATGACATAACCATACAAAAAATAATGTAATATTTTTAATATAAATGAAAAAAATCTATATTGTCTTTATATGTTATATATGTTTGATTTATTTGTGAGGTGGACATTCAAAATATTAAGTGATATTTATATAAATGAAAAAAAAATTATTACTAGTTGTATAGTTTATTTAATTTGAACGGCATAAACGGAGTATCTTTACTCGAGGAGAAAAGAAATGTTTTATGTTTTAAATATTTTATTTAAAATATATATATTTCTAAGGATAATATTCTGTCAGAATATTTATAATTGTGATATAAATATTAAAAATACTTATATTTTTGGTATAATCTAATTTATATTTTAATACAACTATTATGAAATGTTACAAATGCTCACCTATTTGTATTTTAAGGTGAAATAACAGGAGAAAATCAATTCCCCCATCAAAATTATACTCTCTAAAATGTTGCGTACCTGAGTACGAAAGTGAGAAATATGTTACAACTGTGATTGTTTGACAAATTTATTGATTTATTTTGGATAAATTTTTTATTAGTTTTTAAAAAAGATTTTTTGTGTGACTTTAAATTAGTTTTTATATAGTTTAACATTAATTTATATATAAGATGAAAATGAAATTTTGAAAATATAGAATAACTATTATAAATTATAATCTATGAAAAATTGATTTTAGTGTTTTTTTCTTTGATAAAAATACTTATAACAAAACTCATGGAGAAAAAAAAAACATAATAATAGAATATTTGACATTTTCTTTAGCTTTTCCCTTGTTTTTCTCGGGTGGCATTTGGAAGCAATAGAAATTTGTTTGAGCATTGGTTGACTATGGAGAACAATGAGAAGTTGCAGTCAGAGCATTGCATTGGTTGAGTTCGGAAGGAGGAGGCTTTATTGAAGAGCTTATCAACGATGATGGTGAATGATGGTGATTTTGCGTATGATGTATTTATCAGTTTCAAGGGCGAAAACGGGACTCGCTATGCATTCACCGATCATCTCTACCGAGCTTTTCTCCGTCATGGAATCAACGCCTTCAGAGATGATCAGAGTCTCCGGAGCGGGGATGAAATCCGTCCTTCTCTTCTTGAGGCAATCGAAGCTTCCAGAATCTCTTTGGTCGTGCTCTGTCAAAACTATGCATCTTCCTCGTGGTGCCTTGACGAACTGGCCAAGATCATTCACTGTTACGAAAACAAAGGAAAACATGTCGTCGCAATTTTTTATTTGGTGGAACCTTCGGATGTACGGTACCAAAAGAACAGTTACGCAACTGCCATGATTAAACACGAAAACAGATACGGAAAAGACTCGGAGAAGGTTAAAGCATGGCGATCAGCTTTGTCCAGAGTATGCGACCTATGCGGAATACACTACAGGAACCATATGTATGTTCCAAAACGTATATCTGTTTATCATTGGCTTATGTACATATTAGTTCTTACACTTGGAAATTTTGCTTAGTTTAAGTTTTACAGATGTACTTTTTAATCTGTTTTTAGTATCTATTCAAACTTATAAAGATTGAAATGGTCGAGTATAGGGACTACAGTGAGTTTAAAATCGCAATCATAGGCTAAACACAGGTAGGTTCTATATGTAGGTGTTAAAAGGTATAGATTGTTAGATATTAGTGTCTGTCCTGTGTTTCCAAATTCAGTGTTAGATTTTAATTAGTTATTACACCTTGGTTTTGTTGTTTATTAGTAATATTACAAAATGAATAAGCATAAGTATTGTGTGCCTATGCAGGTATGAAACTGAGGTTATTGAGAAGATTGTGAAAGACACCTCAACTAAACTACCTCCCATGCCTTTACAAACCAAGCACCTTGTTGGACTTGTTTCTCGTTTTGAACGAGTGAAATCTCTAATAGATATTGATTCTAGTGATGCCGTTTCCATGCTGGGGATCTATGGAGTTGGCGGAATAGGCAAAACCACATTTGCTGTGGATCTGTATAACAAGATCAGGCATCATTTTGAAGCTGCAAGCTTTCTGGCTAATGTCAGAGAAAAATCAAATAAAAGCATTGAAGGCCTGGAAGATCTTCAAAGGACACTTCTGTCTGAGATGGGTGAAGAGACAGAAACCATTATTGGCAGTATATTTAAAGGAAGCTCTGAAATAAAGCGCAGGCTTGGACATAAAAGAGTTCTTCTCGTTGTGGATGATGTTGATTCTGTAAAACAATTGGAAGCATTAGCTGGAGGATATGATTGGTTTGGTCCTGGTAGCAGAATCGTTATAACAACAAGAGATAAAGATGTTCTACATAAGCATGATGTTGAAATTAAAAGATATGAAATGGAGGAGTTAAATTATCATGAATCTCTTGAACTCTTTTGTTGGTATGCCTTTAATAGGAGCAGACCGGCAGAAAACCTTGCAAACATCTCTACTCGTGCAGTAAGGTATGCAAAGGGTATTCCATTGGCATTAAGAGTAATAGGCTCAAATTTGAAGGGTAGAAGTCCTGAGGAATGGGAAATTGAATTGCAGAAATATAGGAAGGTTCCAGATGCGGAGATTCAAGGTGTACTGGAAATAAGCTATGAAAGCCTATCAAACTTGGACCGGAAAATTTTCCTGGACATTGCTTGTTTCTTCAAAGGTGAAAGGTGGGATTATGTTAAAAGGATATTAGATGCTTCAGATTTCTACCCGGATATACAAGTATTTGTTAGTAAATGTCTCATAACTGTTGATGAATATGGTTGCTTAGAAATGCATGATCTAATACAAGATATTGGTAGAGAGATTGTTCGGAAGGAATCGCCATCAAACCCTGGTTGCCGCAGTAGATTATGGTCTCATAAAGAAGTTCATGAAGTGCTTAGAGAAAACTCAGTGAGAATCTTGACCTTCTTATATTTTTTATATTGGTGCACTTTAGCAAATGTATTTTGTGTTAATTCTCTGCACTTTCATGCATTTCCATAGGGAAGTGATACAGTTGAAGGAATAATGCTTCATCCCCCAAAACAAGAAAAAATTGATTATTGGAGTATGACAGCCTTCAAGAAGATGAAGAACCTCAGAATTTTGATTATTCGCAATGCAATATTTTCGTCTGGTCCTAGTTATCTGCCAAATAGTTTACGACTACTCGATTGGAAGGGGTACCCATCAAAGTCATTTCCGCAAAACTTTTATCCCCACAGAATTGTTGACTTCAAGTTACCTCATAGTTCTCTGATATTGAAAAATCCATTTCAGGTACATATATATGCTTCCTCTTTATATCCCCCTTGACCATGTGACAAAACAGTCATGATTTAAAGGCAAATATAATGGACTATGCTCTAATCATTTTAATTACATTTTTTTGGCAGAGATTTGAGGATTTGACATTCATCAATCTTTCCCATTGTCAATTCATAACTCAAATTCCTGACCTTTCTGGAGCTAAAAGCTTAAAGGTATTTACACTTGATAAATGCCATAAACTGCTAAGGTTGGATAAATCCATTGGGTTTATGCCTAACCTTGTGTATTTAAGTGCTTCAGAGTGCACTCTGCTCACAAGTTTTGTGCCAAAAATGTATTTACCCTCTCTCGAAGTGCTTTCATTTAACTTTTGCAGAAGACTTGAACACTTCCCACTTGTAATGGAAAAAATGGATAAGCCATTGAAGATATACATGATGGATACTGGCATTAAAGAGATTCCGAAATCCATTGGTAACCTCACTGGGCTTGAGCATATAGACATGTCAGTTTGCAAAGGGCTTAAAAATCTACCAAGTAGCTTCTTTTTGCTTCCAAAACTTGTCACTTTAAAAGTTGATGAATGCTCTCAACTTGGAGAATCATTTCAAAGGTTCCAAGAGAGCCGCCATTCAGTGGCAAATGGCAGTCCAAATTTAGTGACACTTCATTTTTGTGAGGCTAATCTATCATATGAAGATCTTTGTGCCATTCTTGAAATTTTTCCAAAATTGGAAAACTTGAATGTATCACACAACGGATTTGTAGCCCTACCAAACAGCATCAGAGGATCTTCTCACTTGAAAAGTCTTGATGTGAGTTTCTGCAGGAATCTTAAGGAAATTCCAGAACTTCCCTTAAGTATTCAGAAAGTAGATGCAAGACACTGTCAGTCCTTAACTTCAGAGGCATCAAGCATGCTATGGTCTAAGGTTTAACAACATTCACTATACCATTATTCTTATAATGCAAGATACTATAATTCCATAATAAATGCAACACACTAATATCTTTCGTTGTGACAGGTCTCAACAGAGATCCAAAGAATACAAGTTGTGATGCCGATGCTAAAAGGGGAAATACCTGAATGGTTTGACTGCATTGGCACTAAAGAGATTCCACATTTCTCGGCTCGCAGAAAGTTTCCCATTGTTGCTTTAGCATTAGTTTTCCAGGAACCGAAAGAGACACTGTCTGTTATAGAAGAGGCTTTCCAATCTGCTTTAGAATCGTTCACTGGATTTGTGAATTGCCACACTGTTAGTCTCCACTTGTTTATTGACGGAAGAGAAATATGTGGTAGAGATTATCACTATTTCAACGTTGGGGAAGATCATGTATTATTTTGTGATCTACGAGTCCTGTTCAGTGATGGAGAGTGGCTGGGCCTTGACGCAAGTCTTGAAGATGATTGGAAGGCCATTCAGGTTCAATATGAATCAGACCTGATTCTCAGTCGGTGGGGAGTTTATGTGTACGAGCAAGAAACAAATATGGATGACATCCAGTTCAGGTTTCCCACTCCTAGATCTACTAGAAACCACATGCCATCGTCACTTTTGGTCCCAAAAGTTTCTCCAAAGCAGAAAATGAAGCATATGCTGGATAGTTTTGATCCACGAGACTTGTTTAACAAGAACCTGTCTCTATTGGAGTCAGAAGAGGGTCCAATAAGGTCTGGAAAAGTACTTTTGAGGACCTGGAGGAATGCTAAGGCTGAGATTAGAGAGGCAGCTTCAGTTTCGGTCTACGGAGCAAGTTTAAAACAAGAACATGAAGAGTCTGTTGAGGAGGTGATACAGGTTTTAGAGATGATAAAGGAGAACGTACCCAAACGCTTTTCTGATTCAAACCCTGAAGAAATGCAATTTTTTGGTGGATTTGTAGAAAGATTATTGAGGGCACGGGTAGAATTAATGAAGGAAAACGGGTTGGACATGGGTATGCCAATTCTTCTAGAGTACACTGAAGTAGGAGGCTCTAAATGTCGACGCTTTTGGGGAGTGATGGAGTTAAAAGTGGGAGATCCATTTTACAAAGCAGTGTTGAGGAAGTACAACCAGCTTTCATGGGAATTTTCGACCAGCAACGAAGCCTCAAGGTCTGGATCGTGGTTAGAAAACTTGAGAGTGACCATTGTTTTATTGGAATGCCTGGGTCCGGCCATAGAGGAAGCTTCAGGCTTTGCCTATGAGGAATCCTTGGAGGAAGGATACTACGATCCTGAATTAGAAGAGTTAATGAGGCGGATAGAGCAAGATGCTATGGGGTTTAATAAATCTTACGGCAAAATGAAGGCATCTATTGTTCGAACCGATGAATCAGTTTCTCCAAAGTATTTATTGGAGACATTAATCTTCAGAAGACTAATGATACTGGGAAAATTGTCAATGTTTGGATCTGCAACCAAGTTCAAGATAACACCTTATGGGAAGATAAGGGTTGAGGACGATCCATTCCGAACTCTGAAGACATGCTTCTGGAGTTTGATCTTGGTTCTTTATGTTCTTTTCTTCATAATCATATGTTTATTTTGTTTGATAGGATTCGTGGGGCTTTTGATTTGTAGGATACCAATAATAAGAAAAATATTTGTGTGTGGTTGGTGGCTTCTCATGCAAATTCTTGTGTCTTGCAAATACTTGTATCATAGTGTGGGTAAGATTATGAAAATAAAGAGGAAGGAATTGTAGTGAAATAGTGGCAGAAAGATATGTGATTGAAATTTATGTTAGGTTTATAAATGTTTACATTTGCACCTTTATCTACAATGGCTGAGTTGGGAGAGGAGTTTGGCCAAATCACATCCAGTGTGATCTTGATCCTCTACACCAGTGCATTTTCATTTGATGTATCATGCATGCTCTCAATATATTTTGAGTATTTTTCGAATCTTATCGTTTACCTTATGCAAAAGTTAATGTTGATTTTGATTGTTCTTCGCTGGCTTGCAATTCCCTTTCCCTAAATGAAATTGTACATTTTCGATTGTGTACAGCAATGACTAACGTGACTATAGAAGAGAAGGGAAAGGAGTGTTTTTGGGGATAGTGTACAAGGAAGCAGAGATTAGTTCTAAATTTTATATTTTTTGTTCAATTGTGCATTTATTATAGCTGGTGGCATTGACTCATTGAGCAAGCAAAACAAGAAAATATATTTTATGTCTCTGTAGTGCCGTGTTTGGATGTGTGAAAGAAATCACGGCTAACATTTTTTTTCCTGTTTTGTAGAGGAAAAAGTGAAAAGATAAGGAGGGGGGGAATTGACATTTATAGAAAAAAAAAATTAACTTTTGTTTTCTCTTTATCTTTTTCAATCAAACTCTATTTTCACGTTATTTTTCATTGTTCTTTACTATACCAATTTATTTTTGCCTTTTTAATGTAAGATACCGTAAGGATCTTATGAAGTTGTGATGTTGGTCTTCATATATTTATGTCATCAAATTGAAGTGTTGAAAAGGATGTTACTATATGGACTATTTCAAAATTTTATCATATGTGCTCACTAATACTAATAAAATGAAATACTGTCTAACACTGTTTTTTATTAAGCGCATATATTAGAAGATTTTCAACCATTGATACACATTAACTGAGTTAAATCCCATTCACAAACTAATATTATTTGAAATATTATGTAATTATACAATTTTTTTTTATTCTTCTAACGTTTCAGCAATCTTTCCGGTAGAAGTGGTGACTTAATATTTTTCAAATGATTAAAGAAAATTGAGATAGTGTAAATTATTGGTTATAATAATTTTTTAAATAAGCATGTTTAGCCTTTATTATATTGTTTGAGAAGTATCAAGTGTGTAGCTTTTTAAAAAAAAAAAAATTATATATCGGTCCAGTTGTAGCTTATTATTTCTCAATAGCTTTAGAATACTTTTCTGTGATTCATTATATGAAAACTGTTTTTCTTAATTTATCCAATAGAAAAATTAATTTAAATAAAAACTTAGTTTAGTCATAATAATAATAACATAGGGAAAGAGCTTTTCCGAAGAAACCTTGAGATTCTTTTTAAAAAATAAAGTCGAGTTGCAATAGTAAAGAAGTAAAGTAGAAAAATGTTTCTTTGGGGGGAGATAAAACTTGGTATAGTTCACTTTCTTCTTTCTTGATACAATGGTATAATTTGACTTTATATCTATTGCAAGTTTAAACTTGCACCACTATCATCATAAAAAACTATACAATATAGCAACGATGACATGCTCATATACATTACCAAACTGACAACTATATAAACAGTAAATTCTATATGCAGTAGAATACAAAAATCATACTACAAAACTTACATTTCAGCCTTCGTCTCCAGAACAGCATATTTCTGAACAACATGTGATGCAGCTAAAGCATCCTAGACCAATGCAGAGTTGTGTCAATGCAGTTGCACATTGGTTGTTCAGCCGGCTACAGCACTGGATGCAGCACATGCAGCAGCAGTAACTGCACAATGTTTCACAACAATTTGTGGCCACCTTAAAGATTTCAGGAACTTCAGGCAATTTCGATTCATATCCCGGAGGAGTATTTTCAGCAGTTGCAGCTAAGTTGCCAAAGCCGATACCCAGATTTGGTAGTAAAATCATTCTCTGCCCTTGGACGGGTGTCTCATACTCAGTATGGCTCTTTTTTGACTTCTGTTTGCCATGAATGAAAAAAATAACGTATTAAATATGTTTCTCCGTGAGATTTAATCCATGTTTGAGAGCAATAATATAATGCAAACCATAATAATATAGACATCATAGTTGTTGTTCTGATATTTAATGTTATATTACCATACCTAATTACCGAAGAACTACTATCCAGGATTCAAAGACAGAAAATAGGTGTTTAAATGAAAACGTTATTTAATATCTGATTTATTCAAAACAGACAAAGTCCTCAAATTTGATACATACTTCTTTCGTTTTCGTGCCGGCTGATTCCTTGACATTCTTTAGTTTATCGGTCTCAAGTAATACCATTCGTGTATATTCGGACATAAAGCCAGTCTGCAGGCTCAGTTTTGCAACCTGAAAATTTAAACGAAAATTCATTTAATAATAATAATAATAAAATAATAATAATAAAAAAAAAACTGAAAATCCCGCGTACAAATTGAATGGAGTGATAGCATAGAGTATTAACAAACCTTCTGTTCTAGCTGTTTATTTTCAAAAAACCATGCTTGAGCGGTAAGATGCTCTATTTGATCTCTTGCAGACACCTGTTAAGAAAGAAAATAGAGCAACATAAATGAATAATAATAAATAAATAAAATGAAACAAAATTGTAAAGTTGTGGACATTAATTTATAAACCAGCATCTGATCAAAACATGTTGGGACCATGACCTCAAGTATATAAGATGAAGCTGACATATGTATGTTTTCACAGGCATACTAAACAGAGAAGTCCAATAAACCATGATTCTCTACATACCCATTTCAATGGATCTTATAATTGTGATAAACTAAACCCCACTAGCTTGCTATATGAAAAAGCAGATTTTTCAAAGAGGTTCATGTAAGCACTTAATATTTTAACCATCACCGACCAAACAAAACTTAGAGCCTCCACTCGGACATTGTAGTTTTAATTTATATACATATAAACTTGAATTGCAAGTATGCTAAGTAGAAGAGAGGAGTACATTACCCTTTGTAAAGGCATGTCCTTAACATTTTGTATCTTCAAATCTACCACAAAATTACTGAAATCAGCCAAGATACCTTTGACTTTAAGAGTTTTGGGAAAATTTCCCCTGTATCTTCCAGATAAAATTAATGGACCCTCTGATGAAAGATCTGGAATATGAGAAGGGTATACCTGTAACATACATTGCAGATAATCCCATAAGAGAGAGTAACAAACTCAGGGAAAGTTGGACATTTAGCATGTGTAACAGAACATAAATTGTAAAAAGGTCAGGATATGTAGATTCACCATGGCATCCATATCAATCTTCATTTTCAAGTGTTACTCTAAAGAGGATAAGAACAGGAAAAGACATGATAAAAATTATTGGTAAAATCCCAATTCGCCATAACCACCAAGGTATTAGGGAATTACAGTATTCAGAAGATTGGAAGGACAATAATAATAAAGACAAGGAGCACAACGGCACATTTTATCATGCAGAGTGATCAATTCAGAACTAGTCCATAAATTAAGACAGTGACGTAGATTCAAAAACGGCAAGGGTGGCCATGGCACATGAACTGAAGGAAAACAATAAAAACTTCAAATGAATGACAGTAGTTTTGTCATATCAAACTTTTGGTGATGACCATGGGGAAGAATGAAAAACATGTAGCAAAATGTTTTTTTTTCAAACTCAATCTAGCAAGGTATTATGTAAAGTTTTACCTCAAGTTCACCAAGATCATCCAATGAATCCACTTTGATATTTGCAAGAATGAGAGATGAAGCTTTGTCAAACAGTGTCAGCATTCGAGGCTCAATCAAATCTGGCAATTCAAGAAAGAGGGGCCGTTATGAAATTAGTTTTTAATGTTAATGCCTTGACATCCTTCTAACATACCAGCCAATAGAACCTACTTTGGTTAAATTTCAACAATCCCATCATAACCAACCAACAGTACTATAGTCATTCAATCTTTAAGGTTCAAATGTAATTATGAATCCTTCAGGGCCAAGTCATGATATTATTAAATAGTTCAGGGACCATGTTTGGAAATTAAAAAAAAAAAAAAAGAAAAAACTTTTGAGGATCCAATAGCAATTATTAGATGAATTTTGAACAAATATTACAACAAAAGTACTGTCTCACTAAATGAGATGCGCATAAATAACAACCCCATGAGAGAATCAGTTAAATAACCAAATTCTCTGAAATATTATTCACCGCCATGAGATTATTAAATAGTTTATGGACCATGTTTGGAAATAACGAAAAACTTTGCCAACCTGTGAGCAATTATTAGATGACTTTTGAATAAATATCATGGACCATGTTTGGAAATAACGAAAAACTTTGTGTGAGCAATTATTAGATGACTTTTGAATAAATATCAAAACAACAAAAGTGTTATCTCACCTCACTAAATATATAGATCACGCAACCCCATTATACTTGGGTAAAGACCAAATTTTCTTAAGAATACTATTCAACGCAATGAGATCCTTCACAGTTTCCTCCAATGTCATTAAAAATTGAAGGTAAAAAGCGTAATCTTGAAATCCTTTAAGAACCAGTCACGATGTTATTAAATAGTTTATGGAATTATCTAAAATTTCAAGGACCTATTATCAATATTAACTTCAGAATAATTTTCAAGAATATCATTCATAAGATCCCTTTTGACAATTTCCTCCAATGTCTTTCTTGGTCCCCCCATTGCATTCGTCCCAACCACCTTAATCAATTTTATGTCATCTTTTTCTCAATCAATGTCATAACAATATTTTTTTGTATACAAATCGCTTTTTAACCTTTCCTCTCTTGCTGTCTGCATCTTAAGATTCTTTCTTTTTTTTTTGTCACTCCCACCTTTCTCTTGTCCTTTTAGAGTCTTACATTCACTACCAAAGAGTAGTTGTGAACAGATACCATTACAAGTCTCATTCTTTTGAACTTAATATACATTTTGCAATCATATATAACCCTACTCCAATACCTAGAAAAGACTAGTGTTCGTGTGACTTATATTAGAACTGTGTAAGACATGTATG